TAGTTAGTGTAATGGCTCTGTCACTGGACTCCCATGTAGTCGACCGCAGTTCGCATCCCGGACCTGGTGGCTTAAAACTCACGCCGGGTGCATGTGTGTGCGTGCCCAAGATCTGGAGAGGAAAATGGAGGAGAAGGGACTGCAGCGTGGCCATCCCCCATGGGGGGTGATTTCTCGCTTTCTGTCTCTCTGTCTGTCTGGTGAGCGCACCCTATAGCAAAAACCTCTTAAAAAAAACCCAAAACAAAACAAAAACCAAAACACAAAAACCAAAAAAATCCCCACTCTTAACATTTTTCTAAGTACTTCTTTCTTTTCTTATAAATCCTGTAACATAAGCCTGTAGGTAGGTAGAGAGATCCTTGCTGCTTGCTCTTCAATCTCTTCCAGCTGTTTATCTCACCTTGTTCCCTAAAATCCTGTGGCTTCTATGAAGTTCGAGCAAGGTATTAGTGCTGTCCAACAGAATTGTGTGTGCTGATGGAAAGCCCTAAGTCTGCGCTGTCCAATAAGAGAGCCACTAGCCACTTGTGATTACTGAGCACTTGCAAGTCAATTAATATGGATGGTGAACTTAATTCTTTCATTTTAATGATTTAAATATAAAAGCTACATGTGGCTAGTGACTACTATATTAGACAAGAGAGTACTAGATTGTAACACTTATGTTATGATCACTTACAGACCTACAAGTCGTTTTCTCTGATATTTTCAAGATTTTAGTAGTTTGGAGGGGGGAAAAAAAAAGGGACCAGCAGATGGTATAACAGTTATGTTGCTGGACTCCCATATAGTTGACTGCAGTTTGAGTCCTGAACCCGACAGCTTAAAACTCATGAGGGGCGTGTGTGTGTGTGTGTGTGTGTGTGTGTGTGTGTGTGCATGCCCAAGATCCCAAGAGGAGAACGGAGGAAAAGGGACTGCAGTACAGCCATCCCTCTGGTGGGTAATTCTCTCTTTCTGTCTCTCTAGCAATTGCATGTGTCCTATAGTAAAAAACAAAACAAAACAACACAGCAGCCAGTTATTATTATCAGCATATATTTCGGTACCTGGAATTCTCATAGATATATTTCCAATAGTCCGATTTTGTTTCTGGACTTTCCCCCCTCTACTAATCTCATCTTGCACAGTCTTTGCTTCCAACCTCTTTGCTATCCTGAATCCAGTAACTATCTAGTAATTCCTGCATTTGGCTGAGACTTCTAGCCTACTGACCATACCTTCCACTATACATCATCTCCATCCTTTTATTTGGTGTAGTTTTACTCCTCCAGCAATAAAATAATTTATGTTTTCTCTCTTTCATCTTGTGTGCTACTCTTAAGCTCTCTGGTACAACTATGCTTAGAAAAATCCCAACTCCAGTGAAATCCAATTCTTGGTACTCTAGGCTCAAGCTGAGCATTTATTGGTTGAAGAATATATACTTTTTTTTTTTTTTTGGAGAGATTTTCACTGTAGGGCGCGTGTGCTCGCCAGACAGACAGAGACATAGAGACAGAAAGCGAGAAATCACCCCCCAGGGGGGATGGTCACGCTGCAATCCCTTCTCCTCCATTCTCCTCTCGGGATCTTGGGCATGCATGCACACGCGCCCGGCGTGAGTTTTAAGCCACCGGGTCTGGGACACGAACTGCGGTCGACTACGTGGGAGTCCAGCGACAAAGCCATTACGCTAACTGCTGGTTCCCAAGAATATATACTTTTGCTGATCGGTTTCACTTTAAATTCATGATCAAAAATATCCTGTGGATCCTTTGTAAAGTCTATCAAACCCACTATGTTTCTTTCCTAGTTAAACTCTCACAGTTTCCCTGATGACTTCCACACCCTCTTCAATTTCATCAAACCTCTAACATCTCTCCCTCATTGCTTTCAACTAAAGATGTTGCTTATGTCTGAAGAACCAAAGCAACAAGAACTTCTACAGAACCACACCACCCAACCTACCCACTCATCTGCATCTACAACGAATGTGTTCCCTCCCTCCCTCCTGCTAAAACAGGGAACCGCCAGATGCAATGGTCATCTTAAAGTTCTCACCTTATTCACCTTACTAGCAGCATTTGACAGAACTGATGGATCTTTCTTGAAGCACTCTCTTTATCTAACTGTGGAAAACTTCGAACTGTAATTCCCTTCGTTGATTTCTCCTTAATTTTTCTAATCTCTAAATCTTAGAGGGTCCAGAGCTTTTCATTTGTGCTCACACCTCAGGTGATCTCAGCCAGCTATAAATACTTTATGCTAATGTTACAAACCTATATCTCTAGTTTCTACCACTCTCTTAAACTTCTGTATCTAATTCCTAGTCTTGCAGTTCACAAGAATGATTTTTAGCCAGCTCAAACATAGTATGAGTAAAACATAATCTCTCTACTTGCTCTGAATACGAGTAAAGAGCATTTATACGGCCTGATTCAATGTCATTCCTCTGAACTCATCTCCTGCCACCAAATTACTCCTTAGCTTGTTCTACCCTGCCAACACTGACCACCTGTGATTCCTGAACATATCTTTGTACTTGGCTGTTAGCTGTACTTGGAAGTCTCTTTTCCCAGATGACCTCGTAGATGGTTTGCTCAATTCCTCCACGTTTCTACCTAACTGTCCCTTATCAGAGCTCCTCTGACCACATACAGCACAGTACTGCTCTGCTTTTCTTTCTACCCCATTCATTTTTCTTCAGCGCCTCTATCAATATTTATGATATATCATTTATTTTATAGTTTATCTTTCCCAATAAATGCTAACTATATGAAAATGAGACTTTGCTTATATAACTCGTTCCTGTATATAAAGCAATTAAACTGCACCTGGCACAGCATGGACTATCTTAAAATGTAATAGAAACACCAAAGTTTTATTCAGATTAATAATGGTGCTTATCAAATAAGAAAATACATTTCCACGTACATATATGAGAGACAAAAATATCTTCAAGTAAAATAAAATTTAACTTGAAGGAAATGTATCTCATGTCTAAACCACTGTATAAGTCAGAGCATAATTGTTTCCTTAAAACTTTAAAGATGGAATTCATATCTGTATATTTATAATAATTTCCATTCTCCCATGAAATTCAATTTTAAGAAAAGTGAATAAGGCCATCGTTATTAAAAGCAATTTTCAAAAGAGAAAAATCCTTCAACCAGGTGTTTCTGTAATACAAGTGAAACATAAAAAGGATCATAAGCTCTTCCACATTAATGGTTTTCCAATATAGAAACCTTTGCTTATTTTCATGAAAAATAGCAGTCTCCTCAGATACTATAAAAAGCAAAAGCACCACTTGGGCTAATTTTTTTTTTAAAGATATATTTTAGTAATAAAACAGTTTTAAAAAGTGAGTCACATGTTTAGCAAAGAATCCTAAAAACACATTTATTCTTTGTATAAAATATAATGGACTCAAAACATAATCATTGCTCTTTAACATTAAAGAACAGAATTAAATATAAACAAATTTAATTGAATATAGAATTTTATTTATATAAAGTCTAAAAAGACTAGAAATAGAAAGACTGAGTCCAATAATAATGTCATTCAAATATGAACACACACAAACTTACAAAAGTTAAAACTCATACCCTAAGCTTGTTAAAGTAACAGAATCAAATATGAATAATCTAATAGTATCAGAATTTGCTAACATCACATAATTCCAGGTTAACCATCAGATTTTTTTCTTAACTCTAGGGGATAAACCTGAGGTTTATTGACTAAAAGTAAGAAAAGTCAAAATCAGTACTTACTTTTAGAAACTTGTTAGATCTTCCACAAACTTTTCAAAAGCATAAATTTTGCATGATTAAATGTAATTTTTATGCATTCATATTTTCCCATCAGGCAAATATGAAATACTACGTTGTCAAAAAAGTTCTATAAAAATGAGTCCCTAAGGAGCAGAAATCAAGCATCAAACTGTAAACTACTTATAAAACACCTGACAAAGTTGGTAGACTGTTTTAGGAGACAAAAAGTAGGTTTCTAAGAACAGAATACAAAATAACTTAAAAATGATTATTTATATACCTTAATAAGAAGTGTAAAAGAAACGCATACATCTTTACTTCCTATAGAAAGTCTAACTCTTTGGTAACTAAGTAATATTACTTACCGCCCAAGTTTTAGTCAACCGGAAAATTGGGGCACTCTGTAAGCCAGAAACCACTGCCATAAGTGCATGAAGGTTATTCAGCTCATACAGTTTCTGATTTAAGAAAAAGAGGGAGAGGGATGAAAAATAAGCATGAAAACAAGAAAATTTCAGATCAACAAGTACAATCTGGGTATTGTTCGTGTTCTGGTACTTATTTTCCTGATTGCTGACATTATTTTTTTAGATCTGTCTTTAGAATACCCATCATGTTTACAGAACGTTGTTTGTGTTTTCGGTTCACAATACAACTTCCATATTTTCCTTTGGCACTATCTTCAACCTTGGGGAATAAGTCTCTCTATGGGTAATATACTATGAAAGCCAAAGTTATGGATCAGTATCAAGTTTCCCTGGTATGATCATACATTCTGGTTGCTGGTAAACAGTAGTCTTCTTTATACTGAAATACCACTAAGTCTTTGCTTTATTGTTCCAGGTTTCAAGAACGGATCCTGATTTAGTGTCCTACTCTGTACTCCCATTATTCCATGACTAGGGTTCAAAACTGCTTTCCAGACTCCTCCTCAATTTCCCGCTTTCTCCTGTCTGAATCCCCAGCTCTGTGTCCGTCATTAATGCTGAGACAACTGCTTTTACAGTCTGCATGCAGAAAACTAAACACTAGGTTCAATCCATTTGTCGTGAGCTATCTAAACATCTATTGTTCATTTCCTGGATTTTTTCTAAAGCTACCTGTGTTTACATCCTAAAGGTCCTGCCTAAAAATTGGTCATTTTATACTTCTCCCAATACTTCTATAGGGTTAGCCCCCATTCTAGAAAATGTTATAGGTGAGACATTTAATTGAACAGCTGAAGAAAAAAATTTTAACCCCTCCAAACAAATTAATAAATGTAGAACAGGATATAAACTTTCATAATACAAAGTCATATATCTAGTTGGAAAACTACTCATCCAGTTTATGTCTGTTAAACATTCACTATTTATTAGACTAGACACCATGTTAGATCCCATCAAAAAGTTTCAGTCTATGGGATAAAAAGACATGAAAACAAATACAAATCCAATGTGCATATTTATAGAATGAACATATAGAGAGAGTTATACATAAGTACTGAAGAATAGCTGAGTTTTTAAAAGCATCAATGGATGGAACAGTATCTGTGGCTAAGGGAAAAAAACATTAGGCCAGCAGGTGGCACAGAGTTTAAGGTGCTGGATCCACATGGTTGACAGCGTGGTTCGAGTCCTGGACCCAGCGGCTTCAAAATCATGCCAGCTTGTGTATATGCCCAAAAGTCCCAAGAGGAGAATGGAGGATAAGAAACTGTAGCATGGCCATACCCTCTGGGGGTGATTTCTCATTACCCCCCTCCCCTCCTCTCTGTCTCTGTCAAGTGCAGGAGCCGTATGGCAAAAATAAAAATTAAAATTAAAAGAGAGGAAAAAAATAGCTGTCAGTTTAGAATAGCATTTTTCAAGAACAAAAGTGATACAAAGATGTTCCTGACAAAATAAAGCTTTTAAAAAAGGATTTTAAAAAATGGGGAACCAACAGTTACCATAATGGCTATATCACTGGACTCCCATATAGTCGACCATGGTTTGACCCAGTGGCTTCAACTCATGCTGTGTGTGTGTGTGTGTGTGTGCATATGTGCCCAAGATCCCAAGAGGAAAATGGAGAAGGGATTGCAGAGCAGCCATCTGCCCTGGTGGGGGTGATTTCTCGCTTTCTCTCTCTCTCTGTCTTTCTGGTGAGCGCATGCACCCTATTGCAAAACAAATAAACAAACAAAAAAACTCCCCCCAAAATAAATAAATAAATAAATAAATAAATAAATAAATAAAACATGGTGCCAGAATAATTATTTATATGGAAAAATATGAAACAATTTATAATTCATATTATAGATAAAAATTTATTCTCGGTGGATTAAATACTCAAGTACCAAAATCTAAGTTATAAAAGTTTTAAAGAATAATAGAAGGGAACACCTTTGATATCTCAGAAGTTAGGGTAAGATTGCTTAATGAGATATCCTTAAATAAGATAATTAAAATGAACTAACTACGGGGGCTAGCAAGTGGTATAGTGGTTAAGGTGTTGGACTCCCACATGGTCAATTGTTGTTCCAGTCCTGAACACAGCGGCTTAAAACTCATGCTGGGTGAGTGTGCATATATGCCCAAAATCTTGAGAGGAGTACAGAGGAGAAGGGACTGCCACGAGGCCATCCCCCAGGAGGTGATTTATCATTTTCTGGCTCTCTGCCTCTCCAGTGAGCGTGCGTGCCCTGTAACAAAAATCTCTCAAAAAAACCCAAAAAACCCAAAAAACCAAAAACCAAAAAACAAACCTAACTACTATGGTCTGAATGTGTGTGTCCCGTTTCCTCAGCCATATTAACAAATTAATATGTTGAGACCTAATTCCCAATGTAGGGTCACTGGGAAGAGAACAAAAGAGAGGTCCTTTGGGACCAGCCTCATAGCCTAGTTAGGGCAACCAGATTCCGCATGGCTCTCTATCGTTTGAATCTAGGCCCCTATAGCTTGAAAACATGCGTGGGCTCATGATAGGGAGAAGGGACTGCCATAAGATCATGCCTCAATTAGGGATGCTTTCTCTTTCTCCCTTTCTCTCTGGTAAGTATACATGCTCTCTGACAATCAATTAAAAAAAAAAAAAAAAAGAGGTGAGGCCCTTGGTTCTGCCTGTAAGAGTCAGCTTTTATAAAAGAGACAGCAGAGAGGCCAGCAGATGGTGTGGTGGTTAAGGCACTGGACTCTCACATGGCTGACTGCTGTTCAAGTTCTGGACCTGGAGACTTGCTTTCTCACTTTCCCTCTCTTCTGTCTTTGTCTCTCTCTGGTCAAATTAAAAAAACAAAACAAAACATAAAACAAAAACAGATTAAATTAAATAATTCTTAAAAAAAAAAAAAAAAAAGAGAGACTGCAGAGAGTCACGTTGCCCCTTTGACCATGAACAGGTGTAGCAAGAAGGTACCATCTACGAGGAATGGGCCCCTACAAAGCGTTGAATCTGCCGGCACCTTGATCTTTGACTGGATCCTTACAGCATGCCAAAACTGTGAAAAATAAATGTTTGCTGTTTCCGAGCCACCCAGTTTATGGTGTTCATGTTATGGTGGCCCAAACAGACTAAAACATAAGTTAAAGATGAATAAATTTGACTACTAGAAGTATGAACTTCTGGGACCAACAGTTAGCGTGATGGCTATGTTGCTGGACTCCCATGTAGTCGATCACGGTTCAAGTCACGGATCCAGTGGCTTAAACTCATGCTGGACGCGTATGCGTGCGTGCCCAAGATCCTGAGAGGAGAATGGAGGAGAAGGGATTCCAGCCATCCCCCCCACCAAGGGGTGATTTATTGCTTTCTGTCTCTCTGTCTCTCTCTCTCTCTCTGGCAAATGCATGTGCCCTATAGCAAAAACCTCTAAAAAAAAAAAAAGTATGAACTCCTTTATCAAAAGATAACATGAAAAAAGCAACAAGTCACAACTAGGAATATATATGCGAAGCATATAAAAGAGAATTGGCCTCTAGAGCTATATAAAGAATTCTTGTCCATTCAATAAAAAAACTAATGCCACAATGGAACATTGCTGAAAGATTCTGAACAGACATTTTGGGAGAGAAAACCTAACTGGACAACACAGAAAAGATGTTCACTTCTGTCAGGTGTAATGAAAGACAATTAAAACTAAAATGACATACGTTTTAGACCTATCAGAATTGGCAATAACAAAAAATTCTGACAATATCAAATGGTAAGATGTGGAAAAGTTAACATTGCTAGTGAGAGTGTGTATGAGTACAACCAGCTTAGGAAACAAGTTAGAGACTGAACATACTCTAACGACTCAGCAGTCTCACCACTTGCTTGAAAACGTGTTTCTAGGATCACTGTGCAACCAAGAGAGTCGTACAGAAATGAATCTACCAGTGTTTATAGTAGTAAAAATTTGGCAACTACCCAAAGTACAGTATACTGACTAACTGGTGGCACAGGTTGAGATTTTCTAAATACATATCTGACATGCTCTAAAATCTCAAACATTTTGAGCACTGATACGACAACCACAAATGAAAAATCCTACACCTCACCTCATGTAAGAGGTGGCAATCAAAACAAAATCTTATGTAAAATTACCTTTGGGTTATGCATATAAGGTGTATACGAGGTGAATTTTGTGTATAGACTTTGGGTGCCATCCCCAAGAATATCTCATTATATGTGTGCAAATACATTTGTGCACCACATAATGATGCTCTAGCCAACAACAGACTACAAGTACGATGGTGGTCCCATAGATTACATCCAACGGCCTAGGTGTGGAGCAGGCCACACATCTAGGTTTGTGCAAGTATACACTATTATGTTCACATAACAGAACTGCCTAAAGATACATTTCTCAGAAGGTATTCCCTTTGTTAAATGACATTGGACTGTGTTCCAAAGTTTGAAAAAATCCCAAATCTAAAACTCTTCTGATATCTTCTGATAAGGTATACTCAACCTGTATTTGCAAACAATGGAATATTCTACTAAAAAGTTGTGCCCAAACTCATTTAGTAAGACTCCTGAGTAAAATATGTTTTCAAAGTATAAAATTAAACATGAAATAATTCAATTTAAACAAAATTGAAAAGCATATATACATGCAATAATCTATTATATAGGGACACATATAAAAAGAAACACATAAAATTCAAGGTGGTGGTTCCTTTTGTAGTAGGAGGGAAGAAAATTGAATACTAAGAGGCATATGGGAATTTAAAGTGGGCAGTAGGCATGCGGTATGCACTTTATCATCCTTTAATATACATGTAATGCAATGTTAAATATTTTTTTCTAAAATTTGTGAGAGAGTGTATGAGCTTGCTGAAGAGAGACAGAGGAGAGAAAGAGAGGGAAAGTGAGACAGCACCTCCCTGAAGGGGAATGGTCATAATGCAATCCCTTCTCCTCCATTTCTTCCTCCTTTGAAGATTTTGGGCATGCGTGCACACACACCTGGCATATTTCTCAAGCTGCCAGGTCTATGACTTGAACATAATTGGCCATGAAGGATCCAGCTGCCTTAACCACCATGCCGTGGGCTGGTTCTATGTTACAGTAAATCGTGTCAATTTGACTATAGTACCAGTTATTTAATCAAACACTAATGTAGGTGTTGCCATGAAGATATTTTGTAGATGTAGTAAACATCTAGGTTCTTTGTCTTTTTGTTTTTTTATTTTTAGGTTTTCACCATACGACACATACACTTGCCAAAGAGAGGGAAAGTGAGAAATCATCTCCCCCCAGGGGATGGCCCCACCACAATTCCTTCTCCTCCATTCTTCTCCTGGGATTTTTGGCATGATTTTCAAGCCACCAGGTCTGGGACTCAAACCATGGTTAACTATGTAGGAGTCCAGCATCTTAACCACCATGCCACCTGCTGGTCCCAACACCTAAAATCTTAAGAGAGGTAATATTTGATAATGTGTGTGGGCCTCATCTAATCAATTGAAAGGCTTAAGACTAAAACTGAGGTTCCCAAGAAAAGAAGTAATTTCGCCTCAAGACTATCACCTCAACTGCTGCCTGAGTCTCAGGCTTGCCAGCCCTACAATCATAGGCATCCATTCCTTAAATCCCTTTTTATAGTTAATATTTTAATCTGTTGGTTCTTTCCCTCTGGAAAACAATGACTGATAAAATCTACTGAAGAAGTGACAGAACTGTCAGTTAAATAACAAACTGAATACAGAAGACAGAGAATCAGAACAGAGGGATTTAAGAAACAATGATGAGGAAAAAACAATTATGAATTTAGGGATGGGATGAAGGTAGGTACTGACAAAATTACTCAAAGTATAGGAGTCTGAATTGGAATTAAGTGATTATTTGATGAGAAGTATAGTAGTAGGTTTGATGAGTAGAATTTGGTGATTTTCATGTTATCCCTTATATGTGGAAATTATAAAAATGGTCTCAGAGGTAGAGAGATGAAGAATGCTTGAGAATGGGGAGAGAGGTGAGATAGAGGGATGCTGATTTATGAAGAAAAGAAAATTGTAGTAATTTAGAGGGATAATTTCTAGTGTTGCAAAATACAGTGGGGAGATTACAGATAGCAACAATTTTCTGTGTATCTCCAAGTAACTAAAGGGGAAGATTTTTTTAAGAGAGATTTTTACAATGGATTGTGTGTGCTTGCCGGAGAGACAGAGAGACAGAAAGCAAGAAACCACCCCCCAGGAACAATGGCCACACCATAGTCCCTCCTCCTCCATTCTCCTCTTGGGATCTTGAGCATGCATGCACACGCACCCGGCATGAGTTTCAAGTTGCCAGGTTCAGGACTCAAACCGCAGCTGACTATGGGTGAGTCTAGCAACGTAACTATTTTGCCATCTGCTGGTCCTAAGGGGAGGATTCTGAATGCTTCCAACACTTGAAATGACAAATGGTTGAAGAGATAGGTTTGCTCATTATCCTGAATGAATTATTAAATATTATATTTTTATACTGCAAAATTGCACTGTACTACTACAAATCTGCACAGTTATTGTTAATTAAAAATATTTTTTAAAGATTGGTAGTTTTGAGTTAAACAGATAAGTAAACCTGAAAATGTAACACAACCACCAGGAAAAAAATAATAGAATCTACAGAGAAAATTAATGTCTACTTGCTGAAAAACAGTACTTCTCTAGCATTTCACAAAAATGTTTTTAAAAGTTTTATGACACTCTTGCAAAATACCACATTTGTAGAAGGCTAGCTCTGCCACCTAGTGCCACATATCTATTAGAATACAGCTGTGCCCACATGCTCAGAAAATTTGGAAGAATTAAGACATAAAATAATTGTAAACATGGTATTCTTGTTTCATTCCATTTTCGTTCACACAGGTAAAGTAAGTTTATATAAGTTATGTACTCATTAAAAAAATAGTTAGGAATGAAGGTGGCTATAATTACCACATTTAATATAAATCTGGAGTTGTTAAAGGTTTAATAAAAGCCTGGGTGTCCCTGTGTGGAAGACCCTATTCCACCCTACTCTCTAGATTCTGAATATCCTTGAAATCCACGCTGTTTCTCTCGCTGCATTTATTATCTATGTCACCAACAGCTGCTCAGTTAACGTATTAGATAACACCACACATGCTATTCTAAATAATAAAGTCTTATTCTCCACAAGGCAGGGCAGCTACTTCATAAGCATAGAGAAAGAATATACATATGCATTCTACTTAATCCCATATGGTATCACCTGCAGAATGGTCAAATATTGAATATTTTATAAATACCAAATTTTCCTATAATCTACCTTTGTCTACTTCTTCTCTGGTGAAGTAGATCATGTAATTCAGCTACTCAGAGGAAGAGAAAAAGGATATAAGAGAAAAGGGGAAGAAAACAGGAAGGAAACAGGAAGGAAAACGCAGAAAAAAGAGGCATCCATTTTTTAAAAATAATTGTTTTATTTTTATTTATTCATTCATTTATTTTAATTTGACCAGAGAGAGACACAGAGAGAGAAAGAGAATGTGAGAAAGCAAGCCACCAGGTCCAGAACTCGAACCGTGGTCGACCATGTGGGAGTGTCCAGCGTCTTAACCACCACGCCACCTGCTGGTTGCAAGGCATCCATTTTTTAAAAACTAACTTACATTAAGCAATTAAGGCTTGTTTTCCAGTATTAGTAAGTTGTAAATAAAGTAAAAAAAAGCAAATACTCATGAACATTTCTAAATGATTAAAATAAATACACACACATATTTTTCTTACCTTAGCAGTTTTAATATAGTGGCTCAAAACTTCTGCTCTAATTTTTAATGTTTGAGCATGAAGAATCTCTCTAACAACCCAAAAGCTTACCTGCAAATACAAATTTAAAATAGTTGAAAGACAAGATTATTTACTTACCCGGATAATATAAATGACAGTAATGATTTGATGACCTTACTGGACTTGACCTGCTGGCCCCTATCACTATGACAGACATACATGTATTTATTTTTACTATAGGGCATGTGCGCTAATGAGAGAGAGAGAAAGAGATGGAAAGTGAGAAATCACCTCCCATGGGGGTGACCATGCCATAATCCCTTCTCCTCCATTCTCCTCTCAGAATTCTGCACACATGCACATGTGCCTGGCATGTTTTTCAACCGGCTTGGTCTGAGACTTGAACCTGAATCTCATGAGGGATTCAGCCACCTTAACCACCACACCACCAGCTGGTCCCGATTTTTAATTTATAACAGTTAAGATAAATTTTAGAGAAATGAGCTTTTTGAGAGAATGCAATACAACTGAAACAATATAACATGAATACTACACAAATAGTTTAGTGGGTTTTTTCCTGTAGTAGTTTGAAACATTTTGGTAGAATTATGAATGCTGTAAAATCAGACACAAAAAATGCTACATATCGCTTGTCTCTCTATGGTGATGTAATCCTACATTGCCATTTATTTAAATTTACATTGAGCAGAACCATAATGTGAACATTCACAAAGAAGACTGTCCTGGAAGTATCACAAAGAAAAACATGTCTAAGTTAGCATTTTAAAATTAAGATTGCATTTCAAAGATTGTTTAGGGCCAGTCCCACAGTACAGTGATTAAGTCCTGTGCATAGGGAACTAGATTCCACAAGACCAACCCTGGTTTGAATTCTGGCCCTGGCAGCTTAAAAATCACACCAGACAGGACCAGCAGGTTACATGGTAGTTAAAGCACTGGATACTCCCACACAGCTGACCATGGTTCAAGTCCCGGACCTGGTGACTCCCTTTCTCACTTCCTCCCTTCCTCCCTCCCTCCCTCTCTTTCTCTGTGTGTGTGTGTGTGTGTGTGTGTCTGATCAAATTAAAATAAATGAATGAGTAATAAAATTAAATAAACATTAAAAAAACACACATGCCAGGCACATGTATGTGCCCCAAATCCCAAACAGATAGAGAAATGGAGGAGAAAGAACTGTGCAAAGACCACGATCCACTGGGGGTGTGGGTTCATTCTCTGTCTGTCTCACTCACTTGCTCATATACCCTCTGGCAATTAAAAAAAATGTATAATGAGGGGACCCGTAGATGGTATAGTGGTTAAATTGCTGTACTCCCACATGGCTGACCACAGTTCGAGTCCTAGACCTGGTGGCTTGAAACTCACACTGGGCGCATGTGCGTGCATGCCCAAGATCTGGGATGATAGTGAAGGAGAAGGGACTGCAGCATGGCCAGCCAACTGGGAGGTGATTTCTCACTCTTCCTCTCAGGGTGTCTATCTGTCTCTCTCCCCAGTGAGCGCACACACCCTAAGGTAAAAATGTGTATGTATGTGTGTGTGTGTATATATACATGTATATATGTATATATACACACACATACATGTGTATATATATATACACATATATACACACACATACACACACATATATAAAAGTGTATAACAGTTTCTAAATTGATGAAGCAGCTTTCTGGATTTATTTAAAAACTATTGATAATCATTCATCAGATGATATACTAGCTCTATAATATTATTAAAATGCTCTACTCTGGTAAAAATTGTTTGCTTATCATATAACATAATGTAATATGTATATAACACATCTTAACTCATATAATATGAAAATATGGGGCCAGCAGCTGATTAAGGGTGCTGGACTCCCACATGGCTGACCATGGTTCGAGTCCCGGGCCTGGCAGCTTGCTTTTCTCTCTTGCTCTGTCCCTCTCTGGTCAAATTAAAAATAAATAAAGTTCAATAAAATAATTCTTAAAAAAAAATATAATCAAAATACTGTAAGTTGGCTCAAACTTTTATAAATCTAAACTCAGGATATGGTTAGAAATCTTAGTGCAAAAGATAATACTTTATTTGCACTTTCCATCTGTATACAGTATGTATATATTTTACAAACATATGTAGATGTAAAATGTACATATTCTACAAAGTCATCTTAAGGCTTGTTACTATATTTGGGTTACCAAAGACAATAATTCTTCTCGATTCTAACAAAGTTTAAAAATATCAAAAGTTATAGTCTAGATATTAACAATAACCTTAGCAAATATCAACTTTACATAAATGCAAACATAAACTATTATCAGACAAATTTTAAAACACATACTATGGTGATTTCTTAAAAAGAATTATTTTATTTAACTTTATTTATTATTATTATCATTATTATTTTCCAGTTTGATCAGAGAGAGACAGAGAGAGAGAGAGAGGAAGTGAGAAAGCAAACCACCAGGTCCGAGACCTGGTGGGTTGCCATGTGGGAGTCCAGCGCCTTTAACCACCATGCCACTTGCCTGCCCCACTATGGTGATTTAAAAATACAAATTCTCACTCCTCTCATCTGAAGTTGGTATGTATGTCACTTCTCACTGACGCTGGGAAGGCTTGTGACTGCTTCAATAATTAGAGCAACACTTACACTGACTTTAGGACAGAGGCCTTAATGCACATGACTCATTTTGACTACTGGAATGATTTCTATGGGAGCCCGAGGTGAGCACACTACTCTGAGCTCACTATACTCAGAAGGCTCCATGTAGGTGCTCCCTAACTGAATGCCATGGTTAAAACCCAACCACACCTGGGAATATTGATCCAGAGCAACCAATACCAAGACGCGGTTTCATAAGACCAGCAGACTTAAAATGGTGACAGACACATCAAAGATGGAGGGGAAAAAAGTACGTGCAAGATTTTTTCCCATGGAAGAAAACTCACTTTCACCTAGAAAGAACACAAACTTGTCAACATGCAACAGTTCATGAAGTGTTATTCCAATGAGTCTTTCCTCAGTAATTTACATGAGAACAAGTCCCAGATGACCAAAATGACTAGAGATAAGGATGGAAGTGACTAAATATATGCTTATTCAAAGAACTACCACTAAGCAAGAGCTGAAGGGAGAGAGTATGTTATATAACACCTACGTGCTCAGACAACATATGGTACAATTATAAAAAACTGTAAAGGCAGAGAGAGAGGAAATCCGTAAAACATAAACCGGCTTTCCGTAATACCACCGCTGTTGGAGCTGACGGTGGTCATATCAGTATTGTTATTCCGACACTGTCGTTTGCTATGCAGTATAAAACATGAACAAACTAACGGATACTGTATTGTGCCTTGTATTCTCTGAAAACCAGGACTCTGGATGTACAAGAAAGGACATGCAGATGTAATATAAAAGATCCAAAGTATTATAAAAACTCTGGTCTTGAATTTGAATTCCTGAACCTGTCAATTCATGAGGTATTTTATCTTTAAATAATTCTGTGTGTTTGTGTGTATGAGATACAGATACAGATAGATAGATACCCGAGCTACTGAGTCATCAGAAAAGTCACGGAGAACTTTTGCACAGAAAAATGTGTCATGACTTCCAACAACCAATATATCTTGCCAAGAAGTTGTAGATATTGTGATTACCCAATTAGCAATAAATATCCTTAGCATCCAGATTCACATCCATCATAAGAAACAGGGCTTTTTTTTTTTTTTAGAGACTTTTGCTACATAGTGTGTGCACTCACCGGAGAGACTGAGAGAAGGAGAGACAGTGAGAAATCACCCCCTGTGGGGATGGCCACACCACGATCCCTTCTTCTCATTCTCTTCTTGGGAATCTGGGCATGTATGCACACATGCCTAGCGTGAGTTTTAAACTGCTGGGTCTGGGACTCAAACTGTGGTTGACTATGTGGGAGTCCAGCGACATAATCATTACACCATCTGCTGGCTTCTAAGAGAAATGTTGATCCCAGGCAGGGGTCAAGATACATACAAAATGAACATGCAACATTCTGGCATACTAGATAGCAAGGAAACCATGAAATACTCAAGACTGGGACCAGCAGATAGCATAAAGGCTATGCCGCTGAACTCCCATGTAGCCGACCGCAGTTGGAGTCCACGCCGGGTGCATGGTGTGTGCTTGTCCAAGATCCTGAGAGGAGAATGGAGAAGGGATTGTAGTGTGGCCATCGCCCCAGGGGGTAATTTCTTGCTTTCTGTCTCTCTATCTTTCTGGCGAGCACACACGCCCAATAGCAAAAACCTCTCCAAAAAGAAAAAAAAAAAAAAAGAAAAGAAATACTGAAGACTACTAAGGTCACGGCAAAAGACATGAAAGTCAAGCTAAGACACTCCCACTGGCCAATGATGGAACAATATGACAATATGAGTTTCAATAAAATAGTACTTGCACTGGAAATCTGAGCTCGTAATGATATTTAAAAGTTAAGATCTGGCTCAGCTGCAGCTGCAGAGGCAATACAGGTGCAGCTGTGTGATGCTGGAGGCCACGTGGAAAGGCCCCAGGCAGGTGTGCAGGTTCCACCTGAACACACTGGGCACACCTGAGGCTGGCCCCAGAGCTTGGGGGAGGACTGCACTGTGAGGACCCTTTTAGGAGTGCCCCCATCTCATGAAGAAAACAAACTTAAAAGGAAAAAAAAGTTTAAAACTATTTGGTCTGGGACCAGCAGATGGTGTAACGGTTCTGCAGCTGGACTCCCACGTAGTCAACTGAGGTTTGAGTCCTGGACCTGGAAGCTTGAAAAACTCACACCAGGCGCGTGTGCGTGCGTGTCCAAAATCCCAAGAGGAGAATGGAGGAAAAGGGATTGCGGCATGGCAATCGCCCCACAGAGGGGTGATTTCTCGCTTTTTGTCTTTCCGTCTCTCCAACAAGCACACATGCCCCATAGCAAAACTCTTTCTAAAAGAAAAACCCAAACCTATCTGGTCACTATCAGAGGATATAACAACACCAATTCACTACCTTCAACACTGCTAAATAAAGGAAAGATTCAAAACGACTTTCTTGGGAACAGCAGTTGGCGTAATGGCTATGTTGCTGGATTCCCACAGAGCCAACTGCGGTTCAAGTTCCAGATCCGGTGGCTTAAACTCACGCCAGGCATGTGTGTGTGTGTGTGTGTGTGTGTGTGTGTGTGTGTGCATGCCCAAGATCCCAAGAGGAGAACAGAGAAGAAGGGATTGTGGTGTGGCCATGCCCCCTGGGGGGGGGAGGGGTTGATTTCTCACTTTCTGTCTCTCTGTCTCCTTCTGGTGAGCATATGTGCCCTATAACAAAAACTTTTCAAAAAAAAAAAGAAAAAAAAAACCGACTCTCTTATCTTTCCTTTCCTATAGGAAATGGACCTCTAGGTAAGCAATACCAGACAAGAAATAAAATGTCTCCATAAAAGCAGTCCAATTTAGAAATGAGAAAGAATCATGGAACACAAATTCACCTTTTACCAACCCCAGGTAATCAATGGGTCAACACACACCTGCGAACACCCCTTGTGAGACAATTAGATATTACGTATCCCCTGTTAAAACAGGGGATAAAATCTATACTCTTAACTAATGGGCTGAATGTGATCAAACCTTTGGGATCAGCAGCTAATTTGCAAAAATGTGGACATGTTAGATGACACAGAATGCAATCTAGACTGAGAGTCTACATAGGTCAAAATGCTGGGTGACTCCACAGACAGATGATAAAGAAAGTACAAGGTTAAAGGGAGCAGTTATGGATGAAAAAGTTCTTCGACAAAAAAAACATTTGGACCAGCTTCATGGCCTAATGGTTAAGGAAGCTAGATGCCATATGGTTGACAGCACAGTTCAAACCCTAGCCCTGGCAGCTTGAAAAAAGCACTGGGCACTGTGCATACATGCCCGAGATCCTGACAGGAAGGAGAAGGGACTGCAGCATGACTGTATCCCACTGAGAAGTACCTTCTCCCCACTCGCTTTCTCTGTCTCTACAGCAAGCACATACATCTGCTGACAAATAATATTCAATGTCTACAAGAGATTCATTTTAAAAATTAAGATGCGTATGGGTCCTCTCCAAAAGATTCTTGGCTACACTTGTTTTCTAATTTGCAACTTCAGATATCCTAAGGCTCTATGAGTGCTCAAGAAATTATGCAGTAGATCTTCTCAAAAAACCAAATGATATTTGGAATTAGGATAAAGGTTTTGGCATATAGTTACACATTTGATTCTAACAACTTTTTGCTTACTTAAGAATAAGTGTTTGAGTATTGTAAATAATGTTTTTGTATAATAGAGAAAAAAAGTTTTACTGTGATGATAAATTCTGACCACTTATAAAAAATTAAAAACAACTCCTGAATAGCTCAAATATGCAGTTCAGTATAGGACGTATTTGACCTTGGCCCACTAATGGGTTTAATCTAATTTTTAAAAACTGTAACCTATTTCCATTTTGTGAACATAGTAAAGGAAAGAACATGAGAAACAACTTCTCATTAAAATCCTAGAAATGCCAGGTTCAATGTCACACACTTTAAAAAAAAAAAAAAAGATGGAGCTAGCTAGGTGGTGTGGCAGTTTATTTAGGTGGCTGGATAACACATGGCCAACTGCATGGTTTGAGTCTTGGACACCAGGAGCTCAAAACACACACAAGCATGTTCCAAAAGAATGGAAGAGAGGAGACTGCAGTGTAGTCTGGGGGTGTGTTGTAACCTTCTCTCTCCCTCTCTGCCTCTGATGAGCACTCTCGGTTGTCCTCTCCTTTCCTGTTAGGGGAGGACCTACAGTCAATGACCTGTGAAGGTCACTACCCTGCTGGATGGGGGTCATTCTGGGGCTGGGCAGACTTTGCCTTCAGGACATCCTTCACCCCTAGGCCTCCATGCCCTAGAGAAAATTTTAAAATTCTTAAAAGAAGAAAAAAAAAAAGCATGTCTGACTTAGAAGAAATAATGGGAATTTTCCTAGAGGCCAAAAAGGAAAAGACATAAAGACAAAGCAGTAGTTTCAAAAGTAGATACTAGAGCTGACCTTGGAGGACTTCCTATCCTAGTGACTAAGGGGAAGGAACTTAAGACAAGGCCTCACACCTCTCCCTTCCTCCCTCTCTCCTTATCTAAGGGCTCTCTGCAAAGGGCTACACTTTCAGAGAAAAGGTGGACTAAAACCATTCACCTACTGCAAAAGGAGGCAACATACAAGTTTATCTGTTCTGACTTAGGCTCTAGGTGGCCAAGGAGAAAAAAAAATGTCTTTCTTAAGAATTTATAACCAAAGACCTACTCTTAATTGGATTTGGAGTTTAAATTCTTCACTACAGAAAAGTACAAATATTCCACAACCGAACATGTAACATAAAGTGGTCTAGGTCTAGGTCTGCAACAGCCTTGGTGGTGTACCAGTAAAAGCAAACAGGAAGCTTTGCAGAGGAGATGCACTCTCAATCTAGGCAGCAGCAAAATTTGCGGATAGTTTACAGATATGAACTTCCAATCCGAAGTCAAAACTCGTAAGACACAAATCATTGTAAGGATCAGCAGAAACAGAGAACAGTACCCCAAGGACTTCAGTTAATACAAAAACTATTTTAAAAAAATGCTGAAAATTATTTTTTAAAACTAAGAGACAGTATAGAAAAAGCACACAGACTTGAAACAGGCAAAACATATGTGAAGAGAGTAAGTGAACTGGGATACATGTAGGTATGAGGAAATCACTTGGAATGAAAAACAAAGAGATAGATGGAAAATATGAAAGATTAAGAGACAAGTAGGAAAGAATGTCAAGTTCCATTAAATTTCCAATAGGAATTACAGACAAAAACAGAGATCATACAGATAATATGTAAAAGATATTGGTTAAAAATATTCCAGAATAAATGTGCAAAGTTAAACTATTCCCCTTTTTTTCTTAAAGAGGTTTTTGCCTTTGGGCCCATGTGCTGGTTGGAGGGAAGGTGGGGGGAAACACTGAAATCCCTTGTCCTTCGTTTTCCTCCCTGGTCTCTTGAGTGGGCATGTACATGCGCCTGGCATGAGTTTCAAGCCACTGAGTCTGGGACTTGAACTGCAGCTGGCCATGTGGGAGTCCAGCAACATAGCTGCTATACCATCTGCTGTCCCCGTTAAAACTATTTTCCTAATTAAAAATTATTTATTGAGGAATTTAATCTCAGAAACTAAATGACAACATTTTATAAACAACTCACATGATTAAATCTTCTTGTAAAGGCAACTGCGTTTGGTGCAGAACTGTATTTTTCTTTTTTATTCCATCCACAGCTTGAAAGCTCCTGGAAAATTGAGAAAATTAGACAAAGACTCAAGAAATAGCCAAGCTTTGTCATATTAAAGGTTTTTAAACATTAAAGACAGTTTTTGTCCTTCTCTAGAACTGCTTAACAGGAACATATCTAATATCATAACCAGTGAGTTAAGTGTCAAAAGCAATTTTTAAATTTGGGTTGTTGCAAAGGTCATGAGGCATTTTTTTAAACATGGACAAAATACGTCATGACTTTTCTGATAACCCAGTAGTTTGCTACGGGATGTGTGTGCTCACCTGAGAAAGAGAAAGGAACAGAGTGAGAAATCACCCCCCAAGTGGGATGCCATGCTGCAATCCCTTCTCCTCTCAGGATTTTGGGCATACAAGCACATGTGTCCAGTATGTGTTTTTCAAGCTACTGTGTCCGGAACTGAAACCTCACAGTTGGCCATGTGGAATTCCAGCCACCTTCACCACCATGCCACTAGTTGGCCCCAAGTGTCAAAAAGCAAATTTTATTAGTATACTAGACTATAAAAATAAAAATTAAATAGGTCAAATTATATTCCATAAGCAGAATATTGGTGAATTCTTTTTAGAAGGGATTTGAATCCTAAGAAAGATCCACAGATAATGAATGTTGAGCATCCTACAACATGAGACAGTCTTCACAAAGTTCATGGAAAATGTGTTTGATGAAAAACTGCAGGGATTTCAATAATTTTTTTTGGCATTAAAATAAAACTCATACTTTAACTTCATTTTTACATAAGCTTTTTCAAGTCCCCTTGTATAGTGTGTGCTACTAGTTTCCCCCCATTCACTCAAGAGCTCCAACTAGCTTTTTATTATGGTTTTCTTTGAGTTGACACTCAAAGAACCCAGAAATCTGAAAAATCCTTTTGTAACGGGATTCTTGATTCCCCCCAAAGGACCTATCAATAAGAATTCAATGGTCCCAACACTAGGATATAAATTTTTTATTTTCAATTTTTTTTTTTTGAGAGGTTTTTTGCTATAGGGCGCGTGCGCTCGCCAGACAGACAGAGACAGAGAGACAGAAAGCAGGAAATCACCCCCCAGGGGGGATGGCCACGCCGCAATCCCTTCTCCTCCATTCTCCTCTCGGGATCTCGGGCACGCACGCACACGTGCCTGGCGTGAGTTTAAGCCACCGGGTCCGGGACTCGAACCGCGATCGACTACGTGGGAGTCCAGCGACATAGCCATTACGCTAACTGCTGGTCCCTTCAATTTTTATTTTATACTAACTTCTTTATTATTCTTTTTTCCTTTTTGGAGAGGTTTTTGCTATAGGGAACATGCACTTGCCAGAAAGAGAAAAACAGAAAGCAAGAAATCGCCCCCCAGGGGGGATGGCCACATCGTAATCCCTTCTCCTCCACTCTCCTCCTGGGATCTTGGGCATGCAATTACACGCACCTGGCGTGAATTTAAGCCACTGGGTCTGGGACTCGAATTGCGGTCAACTACGTGGAAATCCAGAAACATAGCCATTACGCCACCTGCTGGTTCCTATTTTACACTAACTCCTAACTGAAACAACATATTCCTTTTAATTATAAATGTGGACCACAGTTTACAGTGATATTGGCAATACATGTGTTTTTTACATTAACAAAAAATCAGGTATTTTCGGCCAGCAGGTGGTGTGGTGGTTAAGGCAGCTGGATTTCCCACATGGATGACTGTAGTGCTAGTTCCAGACCTGGTGGCTTGCTTTCTCACTTTCTCTGTCTGTCTGTCAGTCTCTTTCTGATAAGCACACATGCCCTGTAGCAAAAATAGTAAATAAATAAAATTAAGTAAATAATTCTTTAAAAAAATCAGGCATTTTCCTATCACATTACAGTAGTACAGGTATCTTACCACTTCTTTGAAACTATGGTAGTTATCAGACCTATTTCTAGATCTCATCATATATTATCATGTAACAGCTTGCAAAATATTTTGATAAGCATTTAAAAAAATAAATTTGCCAGAGGACACATGTGTTCACTAAAGACAGATATATAAAGAGAGTGAAAGTAAAAACGCACCCTTCCCATGGAGGATGGTCATGCCACAATCCCTTTTCCTCTACTTCTCCCTCCTTTTGGGATTTTGGGCACAAACACACATTTGTTCCCAATGTGTTTCTCAAGTTGCCAGACGAGGACTCAAACCGCATACTAGCCATGTGGAATCCAGCTGTCTTCACCACACCACAGGCTGACCCAATAAGCCTATTTTAATAAAAGTGATTTCTGGGACCAGCAAATGGCGTAATGGTTATGTCACTGGACTCCCATATAGTCGACCGTGGTTTGAGTACTGGACGCAGTGACTTCAAACTCACTGTGGGCTTGTGTGCATGCCCCAAATCCCGAGGGGAGAATGGAGAAGGGACTGTAGCATGATCACCTCTTCCCTCCCCTCCTGCAGGGAATGATTTCTTGCTTTTTGTCTCTCTGGTAACTGCAAGTGTCCTATAGCAAAAATCTCTCAGGGGGAAAAAAACTGATTTCCTTTGATTTTAAAGGGTTTCAGTTTCATAAGCTTCAGTCTGCCAGAAGAGCCAAGGTCCAAAATAGGCTAACTCTCTGGGACACAAGAGCAACATCCATGAAACAAGAGACAAAAAATCCATGAAACACAACAACAACAAAACTTGGAAAACTGAATTAGGGCAGAAAACTGAGAAAAGAAAAAGACCCATACACTAATTATTCTCAGATTGATGAGAAAGAGATATTACACTCACTAGGCAAAAACAGTAGGATATCAAAAAGAAATATTCAGAGAAGCAAATAGAACTTTTAGAATTAAAAGATGTAAGATAAATAAAAATCTGAGATAAAGGTGATAAAACATTTTTAACAAAAAGCGAACAGGAGCAAAACATTTTATATTAATTAGTGGAGTCCATGAATACTAATACCCAAATAATAGGAATTTTAAAACAAAACGGAGAAAAATGACTTATTAAACTTAAGTTTAAAAGTAACTTATTAAACGTATTAAAAGCAACTTATTAAAAGAGCAATTCAATAAAATGTTCCAGAACTTGAGGATAAGACAAGACCTGCCTACTGCTCAGTACAATGGATTAAAAAATAAACTCAAACTAAGATACTGCATCAAAAAATTGCAGGACACTAGAGCAGAGATCATAAAAGCTGTCAAATTCAAAAACAAAACAACAACAACAAAAGAACCACACTTCAATAGCAGTACTGTAAATTAAAAACAACTAAAAAATGCCTTCAAGATCCTGGAATTCTGTATCCAACAAAATTATCAGTCAAGCATGAAAGTTGACTACAGACATTTTTAGAAATGGATATCTTTGAGGATTTGCCTTCCATTACCCATTCTCTGAGAGATGGTAGAATATGTGTCTCATCAAAACAAACTACAAATCAAGAAAAAGAAAGATATGGGATCCAGAAAACTGAGGAACAAACACCAAAAGAAAATACTAGGAATTCCTTGCTTAACAGTAAAGGGAAATCCTGGGACAAAGCCATCGGCAGATAAGAAATACAAGAACTGACAGAGTAACTTGAAAACAGAGATTCCAAGGGAGATGTCTCTGAAAAATGAAAGCAGATTCTTGAACATATCAAGTAAAGATAATCACTTCTGGCAAAAACATAGTGCTAGACTGAGAAAGCTAAACCAAATTCTTAGCCAAGAAAAACATCATTTCAGTAAGCAATCATAGTTCAATTGTAAAGAATATAGTTACACAGTCAAAACTGTGATATAATTATATGGGGAAACAAAGGGGAATTGAATCATGTAAAAATGGAAGAGAATGTAAGAAGGTGAAATCATCTTCTATAGTAGAGTCAACAAACATCTAAACTTGGCAAATTAAGAAACAATAAACATTCAGATATATTAATTGAAAAATAAATTCCTCAATGACAGAGAAATAAAAAGAAGAATGACAGATACCAGAACCTCCAATTAGGGTAGGAGGGATTTGAAACAAAATGATTAACAGATGTATGTAAAAAAAGTAAAATAGGTTATGAAACAGTATACCACAGCAGAGTAAAAAGTGTCACTGACAATTTGATGTATACATCCAAAAAAACCCAGGAGAACTGGTATTGAATGTGCACAGCATTAGTGTAATGTTCAATATCAAATAAGATGAATATGTCTATATCCTTGATTTGATTATTATATACTGTATTTATGCTTTAAAAAACCATGCTGTAACCCAGATGTTTAACAATTATATGTAAGCCAGAAATCAGAATTTAAAAATATACCAAAAAATAGTTCTATTAAAAATTAAAAAAAAAAAATCACTGTATCAATGAATGTGAAGTTTCTCAAAGTTTTGATATTCGTTAAATACTGGATCACTTATACCACGACTAGTAGTAATGGTCATTTTTTTGTAGTATTAAAAAAGTTAGGTAAATTTACTTCTCTTTCTATGTATTTCTCCAAATGTGACACTAATCATGCTTGTTGTTAAATAGGGTGAAAACAGGTAGCTGTGAATCACCTGTAAACTCAAAACTCCCAAAGAACAAACATCTCAATCTTCTTTCTTTTTTTTAGAAAGAGATTTCTGCTATGGGAATGTGTGCTTGCTGGAGATACAAGAGAGAGACAGAAAGCAAGAAATAACGCCCCCAGGGAGGATGGCCATGCTGCATTTCCTTCTCCTCCATTCTCCTCTTGGGGTTTTGGGCATGCACGTACATGTGGCCTGGCATAAGATTAAGTCGTCGGATCCAGGACTTGAACCATCATCGACTATGTGAGAGTCCAGCAACATAGCCATTACACGATCTGCTGGTCCCTCAATCTTCTTTTATGTGAACGTGTGGACCTGGTTTTTTGTTTATTTGTTTAAAGTAGCCAGTACACCTGTCCCTTTCCCTGTGTCCTTTAATATACTATCTGTTTGAAAAAGTCCTTCCCATCCTGGAACAGATGTCTTAATAACAACAATAAAAATAAAAACAATAGTTAACACTCAAATGCAGAGGTTAAGAT